TGACCTCAAGGTAAGAAGCACAGCCTATAAAGTCTGGATGCACGTTCCCCCAAGTCAGCTGTCTGTCTGGAGGGCAAAGGGCTATCATACCAGACAACCAAAGCCATTTTGTTTGGGCACTTGTTTCATCTTACCGCAAAGCAACTAAAATCCCACGGCACCACCTGTACCGAGTTTCTACCAGGCTACACGCACTCCCACCGGACCCACCCCCATGCCATCTTTTCGAGTCTGTATGAACTGATCGAGGCCACCTGGTTAAAAGTCATTCCCCACACAGTCCCGCGTCCCCTACAGCTCTCTGTTCAACCCTTTTGTCTTCTGGGGTTGTGCTTTTTCACTTGCTGGAGTTTGCACATTTTCTCCTCCCTGGTTGCCCCAGCTCTTTGCGGGAAGGGAGGGAGGTCACGGAGGGCAGCCACTGCCCATTCCATCAGCCTAACGGGCTGGGGGGATGAACAAAGCAAATATCTATATTCTGAACGGCAGGATCTCTCTCCTCCCTATGACTTCAGAATTAACATGTCCCTGACAGGGGAGGACAAAAACTTCATCTCTCTGAGGAAAGAAAGCAAGATAGAGAGAAAAAAAGGAGAAATTGCCTCCACTTCACTGGAAACGCGAAAGGCATAACACAAAATGCAGAGATCCCCTAATACAGCTTGCCCAGTCCAGAGTCTATTTATCATCCAATCTAATCTGAAAAGTTTTAGCCTAAAACGAAGAAAAAAATGAAAAAAGATATGGATGATACAAGTGGCTGTTTAAAAATGAAATCTCTATTAAAATATCTAGTTAAATATCAGCAGGATTTTTATTTTTCCCATTGCTGCCTTCTCTGCAGTTTATGACCAGTTTTCTCCCTTGGGTGCTTATAAATCACACATATAATCAAGCGAGCACTTTTCTGTATGAGTAGCTTGTTCCAGCTACTCTCACTCCTCCTCCTTGCCTTCACTCACCCAGGACCTTTACTGATCTCAAAAAGCAGTAAGAATCAAAGCCCGTTATAACTTTTAGCTCACTTGGTTTCTGTTTTGTTTGCAGTGCAGTCGGCTTGGGGTCTCAGCCTACCACCGAACCCATCCAGAGGCAGAGAGAGCTAACCCCTTGCCACTGAGACTATAATTTAGGCAAAGAAGTATTTTCTGTAATGAGAGGGAACACTTGCACGACAAAAAAAAATGAAACTTTACGACAATCCCAAACCGATATATCCATACATAAATATTTAAAGGAAAAAAAAAGGAAAAAAATTTAAAACCCAACCAAAAACACACACACAAAAAAACCAGGACCTGGCATCTACCGTGTTTGGAGACCTTTTCTGAGGGCAGGAAACTATCTAAGAGTCTGAACTGAGACAACAGAGGACCATGAACCTTCAGGACATAGCTACTCCTCTGCACTGACGCTCCCGTCTAAAAGGTGATGAACAGCCAGGTTCAGTACGACTTGGCAAGCACGCCTTTTGTTTGTTTCCTCTGAGGTGTAACAGCAAGCGTGCTCCTGGGCAGCACCGGGGAGCAGATGGTAGTGCTGGAAAATAACTGATCTCCAACTTTTGATGTGGGTGTTGGAGCTGGACCGACAAAGGTTGTTTCTGCGAATCCTCCCCCCCCCTCGCCCCATAAGTTTCTAACAATACACGGAGCTAAGGAGCTGCACAAGGCTCTCCGCTTCCCTCTCCCTCTCCCCTCCGCTTTTGATCTCCATCAGGACGTGAGCTGAAATTTAATGGGCCACCCCTACCACAAAGACAAATTACCATCTGAAAAAAAAAATCATTAATATCCCTCCGTCTAGGCTATCCGGCTTCCCACCACGGCACCCCCTTCCCTCTGGCCGCAGCCCCGCTCAGCGGGTGCAGGGAGAGCTGGCTGGGGGAGTGGGGGGAGAAAGGGGAAAGAAGCCACCTCCCCTGCCGCCTGCTACCTAACGTCCTCCCCGTCCTGCCGGCCCGCGGGAACAGCGACCAGCA